CTTTGCCGGGATACTCTTTTTTTGAAGCTATGGGGTTATGAGGCCATGGGCTTATAGGGAGATGGAGCTATCGAGCATGAGGCTATAGGGCCATAGGGCCAAAGCGCTATAGTCTATAGTGCTATAAGGCTATAGAGCTATAGGGCTCTAGGCTTCTAAAGCTTTAAGGCTTTGGGGATACAATGCTAACTATGGGGCTGAAGGGTTGCAGGGTTTTAAGACTATGGGGATAAAACGGCCATGGGGGTGTAGGGCCATGGGGCCATAAGGCTATAGGGCTGTGCTATAGAGCTATATGGCTACAGGGCTATAAGACCATGAGGCTATAGGGCTAGATGGTGGATGTATGGCTATAGGGCTAATGGGCCACAGGGTCATAGGGCCGCAGGGCTAGAAAACTATAGGGCTATAGGGCTAGAGGGCTATGAGGCTATAGGGATACAGGGCTATAGAACTATGGGGCTCCAGGGCTATCAGGCTATAAAGCACCGGGGCGCCCGGGCACGCGGGCGGGCCGCGGAAATCGGCGGCAAAGCTCACCTAACCAAATGAATCCAGTGGGGCCCCATGCAGAGGCAGGCTCTGTTTGGGGCATCTTTGCATGTGGCATATATACACAAGTATAACTATGTATGTGTATATGTTGCGCATGCATATGCGTCATTTGCATCCATGTGTTACTACGCGCGCATGCGGCAGACGCGCATCTTCATCGAGCGCGCGCACACGGGCGCACACCGCCTCCAGGCCGACAGTGCGCCGCGCGCGACACGCGCGCGCGACGCGCGCAGGCGGCGGCGTCGGCAGCAGCAATTGCTCAGACAGGCCAGGTCATGTCACGCGCGCAGCGCAAGCCCCAATTGCTGCCCCTGTCCAAGAACCTCCGCAATTGCAGCCGGCAAGCCATCCGAAGGCTGAGCGAGCAGTGACAGTGCCGCTTCGCGGCGAAATTTGCATCCTCAGTTCATGAGGTAGACGGCGCTGTTGCGATGCGCTGAGCAGATCGCATATGATTTGTATCAGTTCCTAGCATCAGTGCTGCGCTCGCAGCGTTTGCTGGCGCAGCCGCGCAGCCCTCGACCGAGCGGCGGGCTCGCCGCAACCATGCCCGCGGACAGAAAAGACGCCGCCAACAACGGCATCGCCCGCCCTCCCGCGCAGGAGGGCGCCCGAGGAGGAGACGAAAGAGGAGGGGGGGATGATCCGGAACGCGGCGACATCGACAACCGCGGGCCTCCATCCGAGCAAGATTGAAACACGTTCGGCTCGACGGCTGCAAGTCGACCCCCGCGCGCTTGACTCCGCGCGCCAAGATGCAGCCGCAAGTCCTCGCCCTCCCGGCGCGCGCGCCACATTGCGCGCCGGCGGCGGCGATCGCCGCCCCCGCGGCCGTCTGCGCCCCGAAACGGAGGAAAGAAAGCGAAGGCGAAGATCAACGAGCAGGACGCTCTCGACCAGGGGCCTCGATGCTCGCTTCCCTGTGGCCGAGGAGTGCCCTGCGACGCGGCCCACCCTCGTCAGCGACGACGATAGTGAGCGTTTCTTGATGCTCCGGGAAGAGAACGGCCGCGGGGGGACAGCGGACTCCTTGACGTTTGCAATGCGCTTCGAATGATCTCGCGACCAGGTTCAAAAAGATGGGTTTTCACGCGGGGGCGAGTTTTCTCGCCCCTGCGCAGATGCTTCAATTGAAGGGCCACGGAATGTCTCATTGACACCCGCAAGGAAACCGCAAATGTCACGCTCGAGCCGCGCGAAGAGAACGCGGAAGAGCCGGCGCCAAGGAGGGGGGCCCAACAGATATTCACGAGAAAAGTGAGGAGATGAGTATATAACTTCTGTCAACGATAAAGAGCGCACTAAGATCTGGACGCAGGGGCAGACCGAGGCGATCACTGGCGGCGCGGATGCCAAGAACGGCGCGCACCTCATGCGGGCATGCGACACAGTGGGCGCCCCGTCGGCGCTGCCATCGCCTTCGCCCTACTGGAAAGTTGATATCAAGGACGAGGGCTCCCTGATTCCCGAGGTCAAAGAGGCGGCGAAACATCTCAATGCCGAAAGCGCACATTTTCCCCCCTCCCCTGGCCCCGCCGCCCCCCGGGGCAGAATATCCAGTTGGCGGCGGGCTGGCGGATGGCAGGGGGCGGCGGGCGGGGGGGGGGCTGGGAATCATTTGCGGCCAGCCTTCGGGGACTGATTCGGCTGCGCCGCGGCAGAACCGCGCAATTCAGCGCGGGCGCAAGAGCCAACTCGCAGCGAAGAGCAAAGCTGCCGAGGGGGGCAGCGAGAGCGAACTACTCGCGGGAAATCGAAACCAGCATCAATGTGCCGGGCAACTTCGTCGACGAGTGCAACTGCGACATCGCGGCGGCCAAGGTCGCGCGCCTTGGGCGCGAAGGAGTTGCCACTTCCCCGCGAGATGATCACAGGCGCGAAGGAGATGCTCGAACGCCGCCTCGCAGGGCCGAAAGTCTACAAGCGCCCGCACTCCGAGCTGCTCGAGCACGACTGGGGGTCCGACAGAGGCCGCGGCGCCGCGGGCGCCCGCGGCCGGCGCCGGGGGGGGGGGGCAGGGGGGCGATGGGAAGGGCGAGGGCGAGAAGGGGAACGGGGGGGACAAATGGAATGGAGGGGTGCAAACCATTAAATTGTTTGTTGCGTGGGCACGCACGCTGCGCTAGTTTTCTCGCGCGGCCGCGGCACTCCGATCGGCGAATTCGCCGCGGCCGCGCCCCCGGGAAGACGCGCGGCCATCGCCGTCGTCGCCCACCCTCTGCGCAGGAGGGCGCGTCGACTCATCGTCGGCGATGTCTCCCGGGCAAACGTCGGCGGCAATGCGTCCAAAAGGTTGCAGAGGCGACGCATTTGAGGCAGCTTGTGGCCCGGGGCGCATTTCGCAGTGGCCCGCTGCTGAGGCACCGCCGCGAGCACAGTGGGCGGGTCGCTTTCGGCCCGTCGCGCGAATATCTCGCTCAACTGGCGAAGCGCGGCGCGCCGCAGAAACCGGGGGGCGCCGGCGGTCTGGATCGAGCGGGGGAAGATCGCGACGCACTTGAATTTGCCAGCGTTGCCGAGAAAGGCGGGGGCGCACAAATTGCGCGCGCCCGTCGCTGGATTGACGATGTCATGCATGAGCGCGAACTCGTGGCGCGGCATTCTCGGTGCGATTGCCTAGGGTTTTCGGCCCATGGCCACGGGCGGGCACCCCGCCGCCCGCCGCGACAGCGCAGCTTGGTTGAAATCTGGTTTTCACAAAAAGCTAAGACGGCGGGCGCAGGTTTCGGGCCGCAGGTCTGCGCCGGCGCAGATGCGCGCGAATGAGGGGCGCTGGAACGCGCCACGGCGGAGCAACGGGCGCGCGAAGACGCGGCTGACCCAACGCTGAATAGAACGCGGCGTCACAATATCGCCAAAGGTGCCAAATTTATGGGTTGGCCTATCTGTCTGCGGAATCGACTAGTTACGCGCTGTTGACCGTGGCCCGGCTGCAATTTGGCTGGGGCTGCTGTTTCTCAAACTTATGCATCTTGGAAAATTCCTTGGATCCACGTGCGACGAACAATGCAACGCGTTGCGGGAAAGCCCGGGCACTCGGCGCGAGCGGAACGCAATGGCGGACCGAAGTGCCACTCCGTGCCCATGAGGACCATAAAGCGCACGGAGACAGTGCGCATTTCAGGCCTCAGACACGCGATGCCCTCTGGGAACGCACTCGCAGACGAGCTGCGCGACCCGAGAATCGCGGGGGAGGCCGCGATGATAAATGCAATAGTTCATGCGTATCAATCCTTGCTTGAGAAATGGTAGCCCGAAGAAAGCAATTCTGCGCGGTCAATCGATCGAGTTCAGCCCGCGGCGCGCCGCCCAGCGCAGCGCGCGCCCGACGTGCTTCAAACGGCGACAAGATTCATCAATTGCTCGAGATGGGCCTTGAAGCCTCGCGCGTGCATCAGCCCGAGACGCGCTGGACTCACAGAGGTCACAGAGACGGTGATCTCGGAGGCGCAAGGGCGCCGGGCGTCGCGGCAGCGCGCCCGCGCCCCGCGGGTTCAGCGCTGCATTGGTGTCAAGATGTTCTCGCAGCCTGTCGCGCGGATCTTGCGATCCAGATCCGAAACAGGTCGCACCCCCCCCCCCTCCTGTGCAAGAGGGGCCTGTCGATCCGCTTCGGGGCCCTCCCCCCCCCCGTGCCCCCCCGCCTTCAAATTTTCAGTTGTCGCCCTCGCCCATCTTCGCCGGCCCCCCGCGTCGCCGTTGGCCGCGGCCGTTTCTCGCGTCAGCCTCCGCGCAGACTGCCCGACTCGAATTCAGGAGTTCAGCAATTGCCGCGGCGGCCAGGGGCGCTCGATGCTCGACGCGCGGCGCCGTCGGCGCCGGCGACGCGGGGCCCCCGCGCTGCGCGCGGCAGTTCGGCGGTCGCCGGCGACGCCGCTGCTGCCAGCAATGCGCGCGTAGAAAACGCCTCGGCCTCGACAAGAAGGTCCTGGGGCACGACGGGCCCAGGGTTGAGATGCTGGTCGGCGAGCGGCTGGCGACGTCGGCGGAGGCGCGCGCGGCCCAGAGTGGCCGGGGGGGCGCGCGGGCGGGCCTGCGACGACGCCTTCGCCGAGCGATGCTCCGCGCCGCCCGCGCGCCCAGATCGTCGGGTGGCCCGCCCCCCCCCCCCCCCCCTTGCGCCCGATGTAAAACAACCCAAAACTCAAGGGGGCCGCGGCCCGCGCCCAGGAGGCGCCGCGAGGACGGGAGGGGGAAAATCAGCGGGGGGGGAGGCGAGGAGGGGAAGGGGGATGGGGGGAGGATATCGATGACGATGTGAACGTGTTGTAAGAACATAATGAAACCAACATGCAATCAACATATCATCAACTTGCGCAAAACGGCATAGAAAACCTGTCCGTAATTCGCGCAAACAGCGAAGTCGAAAGAACCGCTCTGTCTGCCTTCATTCGCGCAGACAGCTAATCAGCACACATTGGACCCTCAAGGTGGAGCACGTTCGCCAAAGGGTCAGCCCATCCTTCAGGCCTGCATATGGCAGCACGCACCCGCTCTGAGGGCCGACGAGAATGGAGCAGTCGAGCATGTTTTGCTGAGGCGCGCAACCGTCTCAAGTTCTCACGTAAGCGGTTGCCCCCCATGATGCGCCCACTCACCCCTTTCCCTGCCGTAGCATATGTGATCTAGGTATCGATGCGTCTGGCTGCCTGTGTTTGTGTACTTGCAACAGATGGTGCAGAAGATGAGCGAGTCCTCCTCTCCGCCCACAAGGTACTCCAACAACGAGTGCTTCTGAACACGCCAAGCCCACGGCAACACCTGCTCATGAGCAGCAGCCTCATCTTGGGAGAAATCGGATTACCCTCAACCTGCTCGGGAAAGGCGTCGTCAATGCGAGATTCGCCCAGCTTGTAGAACCATACTTCGAAGTGGGCACCGTAGGTGAGCAGCATCTTGAGGATCCTCACGGCCCCACGCACAAAACTGACCTGCTCCTCGCTGGCCGTGTGGGACTTGGCCCCGGAAATGGCCAGTTCGTCCATTTCAGCATTACCAGATCAATCGAAGTCGTTGATCATGAAGTCCCTGATGTCGGCCAGGCAGGTGTGGGTTTTCACATGAGAAACTGGCGTTCGGCCGAAGTCATGTCATTATTAATCGCCGTGCGCTTCCACGTGTGGGCTCGAAGATTACCTGGGCCGCAGGCCACCTTGGTTCTATGGCAGCAGCCCGCTGACCCTTCGCAGTCGGATTTGATATGAAATGAACCTAATACGTGCGTGCTGGCCACCGCGAGAGCGTAGTCCTCTCCGTCTCGAGCGACCTGATTTGGCCCCTCCCTCGAGGGACTCTGATGGCATCTGGCCACTCGCTACCTGCAAGAATTGTAGACTGCCACCGCCCAACCTGCCGAATGCAGCTCGGGGACCTGAACAGAGAAAGTACTGCCATCGACAAAAGCGTATCCATCATACACTGACGCCCCACCTCGCCTGTCCACATCAATGATGTCAGAGCTGGTGGACCTGGCCCATGAACGGCCTGGCCAAGGTGAGGAAGGAGGCCACGAGCGAACCTATTGTGTCGGCCTTCTGGCTCGGAAAGCATACGGTGGGCTGCTCTCCTGACCTCCGCTGGCAATATGGTCTGACGGTGCGCCGCGAACGCATCGCACACGAAGAACCAATGACATAACGTGTCTGGGGCGGATCCACAGCGTAAACATAAATGAAACTCACCTGCAAACGCTCGAGCCAGGCGTACCTGAGACCAGTGCCCACCGGTGATCACGCCTCGAAGTGACCTTCTCTCGTGTGGGCACGTACGACGATGATGAAAACGAAGGTGATAGAAGGATGATTTGGGGAAGGCGAAGAGGGGTAGGAGGAGGAGGAGGAATCGTATGGAGTGTACCTCAACGTGCGCGGAGTCTCTCAGGACCCTCCCAACAACCTCCCAAGAGCCTCTTTAGAGCCCCATCAGGATCCTCTCCAGATCCTCCCGGGATCCTCTTTGAGCCCTCACAGTAGCCTTTTCAGGTGCCTCTCAAGAGCCTTTCGGGAGCGTCTCAGCATCCTGCTATTCGGGTGCTTTGCAGGATTATACATCGCTCAAAGCAGTTTATCGTGAGGGCTCCAGGACCCCAGCACGGCACCCACCCGAAAAGAGCATTGACAGACAGGCATAAACTCGTAAAGGGTGACACCATAAGTTGGGCGACCCCGCGCCCAGCGTAGCTGGCGTGTAGAGTGCACCCTTGAAAGGTGGGGGTTGGGACGTTGTCCCGCAGAAGGGGTAGTAAACTCGAATCGTGACTGCCTCACCGTACCCTCACTCATCATCATCCTCCTCCTGCTTCCTCCTTCTCCCTCTTCTCCTCCCCCCAACATCCTGACCTTCCCTCCCCATGCGTTACAGTACTCATCTCCATCATCATCACCATCAACATCCTCTTGCCTCCCCTGCCCTACTCCGCCGTCCCTCCAAGAGCTGATTCCGTGACGAGGAGTCTCTCCTGAATGACTTGCCCCTGGAGGGCACAGTCTAGGAGAAGGGGAAGACACTGATCCCAGAGGCAGACGGGGCAAACAAAGAGAGTCTTGGAAACTGTAGGAAGTCCTGTGGGATCTGAGAAGGTCGAGGGGCTCCAGAGGGTCCAGAGGGTCCTCGAGCCTCCCCATCCTGCTCGTTATCCCCACTCCTCCTCGGCAAATCCTGTTCCTGTTCCCAACAGTTTTCTCCTCGCTCTCCTCCTCCTCCTCCTCCTCCCCCTACTCCTTCTCGTATTATTCTTCTTACTAGCATTATTAGTAATGTTCTTAACATTATTATGCGTAGTACTAGTACTAGTACTAGTAATAGTACTATTATTACTATTGCTAGCAGTACGATTATTAGTATTATCATTATTATTATCCGTAATATCATTACTATTAATAATACATTTATTATTAGCATCATTATTAGTAGTAGTGGTAGCAGCAGCAGCAGCAGCAGCAGCAGTAGTAGTAGTAGTAGTAGTAGCAGTAGCAGTAGCAGTAGCAGTAGCAGTAGCAGTAGCAGTAGCAGTAGCAGTAGCAGTAGCAGTAGCAGTAGTAGTAGTAGTAGTAGTAGTAGTAGTAGCAGGAGCAGCAGCAGCAGCAGCAGGCAGTAGTATAGTAGTAGTAGTAGTAGTAGTAGTAGTAGTAGTAGTTAGTAGTAGTAGTAGTAGTAGTAGTAGTAGTAGTAAGTAGTAGTAGTAGTAGTAGTAGTCGTAGTAGTAGTAGTAGTAGTAGTAGTAGTAGTAGTAGTAGTAGTAGTAGTAGTAGTAGTAGTAGTAGTAGTAGTAGTAGTAGTAGTAGTAGTAGTAGTAGTAGTAGTAGTAGTAGTAGTAGTAGTAGTAGTAGTAGTAGTAGTAGTAGTAGTAGTAGTAGTAGTAGTAGTACTGATAATATTAGTATTAGTGATAGTTTTACTACTATTATTATTGTTGTTCTTCCTCCTCCTCCTCCTCCTCTTCCTCCTCCCTTGCTCCCACGGGGCAGCCCCAAATCCGCTCAAAATCAATATCTGGACCCCTCCTGGGGTCCATCCTGACCCGTTCTTCAAGATGGATCGAGCAGTGGAGACGAGGTCATGAGGCCCAAGCAGCATGGAAAACGCAGGAAGTGCCGCCGTTACCACGACTGGCCTTCCTCCGACTCTAGGAACACCCGATGCCCTGTCTTGCCATGCTCTGTCTTGCCCGCGATCGACTGAACCCCCGTCGGTGGACCGACGGGCCCCGCCACCTGCCAGGCGGCACGCTGCCGCACGACGGCGAGGGGTCTGCACGGCAGCGGTGGGGGCGGCCCACCCCACTGGAGCCACGACGGCCGCCAGCGAGAGCAGCCTCGGCTGACGACATCGGGCGCCCCTCGATGCGCTGCCCGAGGTGATGCGTCTGCTCCTTCCCTTCCCCCTCGGCGTCACCTCTCTCCACACCTTACCATCCTCCTCCTCCTGTTTCCTCCCTCCTGTTCCCCCCCTGCCCCTCCTACGTATTCCTCTTCCTCCTCCTCTTCTTCCTCTTCCTCCGCCACCTCCTCCTCCTCCACCTCCTCCCCCTTCTCCCGCAGCAAGTCTGCGGAAATCCTCGGAGCTCCGGCAGGAGCACAACACCAACGGCGAGGGCACGACGACGTTCTTCGAGCCAAATGTATATGTGATGGTGCTGGGTCCCGAGGCGGGGCGAAAAACAGCAGGTCAGAAAAAAATGCAGCGCCCGGATCCTAGGGTGACCATACGAATTTGCGCGGTGCAGCGTGCCTCGTTTTGAAGCGTATTGGCCACACCCGGTTTGCAAACATGTCGTTTCACTCGGTGCTTCAGGTGGCGCTCTTCTCTGTGTTGTGCCGTGTGGCTCTCACGAGAGAGGCAGAGTGAGAGGCCGAATGGGTCACTGTTTACAATGTTTTGCCATGTCTGGCTCACGACTGTGCCGCTTGCCTGAGCTTTTGGGGGGGGGCGCCAAGTTCCGCAGGACGAAGGGAACCTTTGTGAGCGCGTCTTGCGCGAGACGCCCCTTTCGCCTTGGAGCCACGGATCTCGTGAACAGGTCGCCGACGACGGGGGCCGCCCGCGCCCGCACCGAGGCGCCCGCGCGTCGTGGGCTGGCAGGGCCGGGGCAGCGGCGCGGGGCGCGGGCATCTGGCATGGCGCGGGGGCGACTGCTGCGGCGGCTGGGGCCTGCGGGCCACTCCGCTCTGCGTCTCGCCCTCGTCCTCGCCCGCACGCCGCACAGACCCATTCGGAGGAGGAGACGACACCGATGCCGCTGCCGTCGCCACGGCGGGATTATCCTTGAAGTCCTGGTCAGAACGCGCCCCAGGAGAGGTCAAGGGAGCAGCGGTGCTGTTTTTTTTTGTTACCCCTGTCGTCGCCGACGTCCCCATCGCAGTCGTCACCGTGGCCGCCATCGCCGCTGTCGCCGCTGTCGCCGCTGTCGCCGTCGCCGTCGCCGCCATCGTCGTCGCCGCCGTAACAATCGCCGTTGTCGCTGCCGTCGTCGCCACCATCCCCTGAGATCCAGGCGTTGCAATTGTTTCACACCGTTTCACTGGTTTCGGAACCGATGGGCCATCACATATCGATCGGGCTCGAAGAATAATTACCGCAGACACATGGGGTCTAGGGCTCTGGTCGTCAAAGACACACGAGTGTATTCTGAGAAGCCTAACTAGACGCCGGGATGGCTTCTGAGAAGCCACCTGCCTTCTCTGAAACCCATCCACCTTCTTAAAAGGCCATCCACTCGCGCCACCGCGTTGTGCTCGCCACCGATCATCGCCACCGCGTGCAGAGGACATAACAAAAAAACAAACACAGACAACAAACACACGGCATTGCTCGGCCATGTTGGGCCTCGAGAGGCTCATTTTCTTGGGCCCCGCGGCGGTCACATCGAAAAAACATGGACGAAAACAACGGGTCCCTGGGTCCTCATATTTTGTGGTTTCCTCCTCCTCCTCCTCCGTTTCCTCCTTTTCCTTACCATCATCATCATCATCATCATCATCATCATCATCATCATCATCATCATCATCAGCAGCAGCAGCAGCAGCAGCATCATCAGCATCATCATCATCAGCATCATCATCATCAGCATCATCAGCATCAGCATCAGCATCAGCATCAGCATCAGCATCAGCATCAGCATCATCATCATCATCATCATCATCATCATCATCAGCATCATCATCATCATCCTCATCATCATCATCATCATCATCAGCAGCAGCATCATTATCATCCATCATCCTCATCATCATCGTCATCATCATCGTCGTCATCATCCTCATCATCATCATCATCATCATCATCATCATCATCACCATCACCATCACCATCACCATCATCACCAACCTTTTTTTGTTGAGTCATCAGTGAAGATCCGCTGGCAGCATTCCTCAACCTCCTCCTCCATTCCATAATCAGCATCAAGAACATCTTCAACTTACGGAACATGCAGGGGAGACCGCCACCCGACAATTCCTGGCCGGGAACCCACCCTGACCCCCACCCTGCTCCCACCACGTCTGACATCCCCACCCTGCAAAACCACCCCTTGGGACCTG